GACCGTGCAATATCATCGTACAAATTGTAATCCCAGCTGGATATCATTCGGCTTGACCAACTTTATAATGTGTAAAATGTTTATTAAAATTTTCACTTTAATCATGTCGAGGTGAAATCATAAAAGGATTTTGATATGCAGAAAAACTAGACTTGGCAACTAGGTTTTCTGTACGCCATCGTCTGATCTAATTATTTTTATCAAGATCCAACGAAAAATACAAATAAAAACTACTCAGCAACCTCTAATAACTTGTCAGTGGTTCCTAAAGTTGCATATACCTGTACAAAATTAATAAAAGCTCCTAAGGTCTAGACAAGTCTGCAAGCTTGTGAAAATAGGGATATATACATGAACTTAGAGCCTCCTAGCCTAGTGGCTGAACTCTGAATTACGCACATAAAGGTCAAGAAAAAATAAAAGTTATATTTTAACTGACTTTCCGTTGAAGGAAACACTGATATCAACCCATAAATTAATCCGAAAGACGGCGGTAGGCTCGTCTCCTGTCATGTTATATTCAACATATACAAAGCCAAATGTTGACATGTCAAGCATCAAACTCACCACAACAATCGACGTTTGACAATACCTCTGTCTTCCCCATCTGGGGTGACAGTCGTGACGATATGTTTTGTGTCACAAATAAGAAAATACGATACAGATCGTATTTTCATAATATTTCCACTCGAGTCTATTTTAAGCCGTCGTTGAATTGATGTTTCTTTATTTTACGTTTCTATCTGATTTATTTCTGTAAAAATGACAATGATGGCGCACTTTCAGAAACGTGATCTCGAAACAAGGGCATCGTAATCTTCACAATAAAAGCCAGAAAAAGTGTTTACAACGGCTGCCTGTTGCGTTTTAATTTGATCTTTTGTTGTAAGTGTATTACCGCTGTGACAGACTGAAATATCTATAGATACAACGTTTATAATCCATATTGTGCCTACACTTGTAATATTTCTGTCAACACTCGGCACTCTTCCATTAGTTTACATCTCCACATAATAAAGATTTAAGGTATGTATAAAGTCAGTCCACGTTACGACTACGCGTTGAATGTACTCGTCACTACACAGTATAAAACAAAGTCGCGGTCGCCGTCTGTCTGTCCCATCTATAAAACTACGCAACGGATTTTGAAACGGTTTTTTTAATAGATAGAGTGATTCTAGAGGAAGGTTTATATGTATAATACATGTACACCTGGGCGAGTAGCTAGTTATTAATAAGGCGTGTAGTATGAAATAAACTTATTATTGTAGTTCAATTATTACACATATATACTCACTACCTGTATACTACAGATAAAATGAGGTGAGAACATCGCGCTACAATCTTAATATTATACCTAAACGAGAAATTCTGTCCGTATGCCACGAATAAATTTCTTAATATATCTTTATGAAATCTTGCGTGAAAATTGATTATAAGAAGGATGAGTTTTGTCTAACTTATATCTCAAAAAAGCAGACGGAGTCGCGCGTATTAACTATCTATAATAATAATAATAATCTCATGACAATTCACACAGCGCCATCTAGTCCCAAGTTAAGCTAGCTAAAGCTTGTTTTATGGGTACTGATGACGACTGGTACACAACTGATATAAATACATAGATTTTTTTTTCGTAAATACATACATATTATACATAGAAAACACCCAGATCGATACAAACAACTATATTTATGAATTCAAATGTTTGTGCCGTGCGAGGAATCGAACCCGCGACCATCGGACGTAAAGCGGTGTGCTAGACCGCTAAACCACCGAGGTCGTCAAATCTGGTATCTGTTTGTACCGTTACTATTATTACCGATTTACATTATTTTGTTTAATTCCGCAACCATAATAAAATATTTATATCGTTGTCAATAATTAGACTGTAACATAAAAAAGATTCAAACAGAAACATCAGCTTTATATCATAATTGCCTTGCCTTGTCTTCATCCCATTACTTGAGGCGGCGCAGAATGCCATCTTTTTCCATTTATTTGCTATTATTCACAGTCTCGATGGTCTAGCGGTTAAGCACACCGCTTTACTTCCGAAGATCGCGGGTACGTTTCCTCGCACGGTGCAAACATTTGTATTCAAGAGTATGATGGTTTGTATTGGTCTGGGTGTTTCTGTGTATATATTTACAGAAAAAAACAAAATATCTAAGTATTTATATCAGTTGTCTAGTCCCCATGACGCATGCTCTGCTTGCCTTGGGACTAGATGGCGCTGTGTTAATTGTCCAGGGTTATTTATTTCTATAACAATATTGGCCCATAATACCTTTGTACTTTACGTACCAACATATATACTACATACATACTAATTAGTGCACTTCTGGTAATTCAAAATTACGACGGCCTGAGCCGACGTTCGCACCCTCAGACTAAAGTCCATTAGGAGGGAGTTGGCCTTCAGCCGCATGTAGTGATGCCATCTGCACTCACCCTCTATGGTCCGGTAAAACAGTAACGGCCAGCTGCGGCCAACAGCATTAGAGTAATACGAAAAAAAGTAGTACACTGCGACTTGTGAGATATGTGTAATGGAGATATGACGCTAAAATTACGCTATTAAATTTTGTTTTAACATCTAACATACTATCTGTGCCCGCGGTTTCAGCTGTATGAAATTTAGAGCCTATATGTTATTCTAATATATAAGCCAAAGATCCATCCATCCATCAAAACATCCACACTCAAAAACTTATAATGTTAATAAAATTGACAAGTTAAATAAAACTTAGGCTAAATATTTCCTAAAGTTTTGTTTAATACATAAATAGGCTATTTTGTTAGCCAAAACCACAAGTCTACAAAAACGGACGGCTCCCGTACTTTTCCTGGCAATTGATCGTTATTAGATAACATTTTAGTGCAATAAACTGTTTTGTGGCCGCAAAAATAGCGGGCGGAATAGATATTTTTGTTTAGAATGATAAACAAGCAAGGGTCATCTAACAGAAAATAATAACCATCTTTTCAAAACAGCCTCGATGACTTAGCGGTTTAGTGAAGGTACTGCCTTACTCCCGAAGGCCGCGGATACGATTCCTCACACGAGGCAAATATTCATGAGTATGATTATTCGTATGGGTCTGGTTATTTATAACATAATGGTGAGATAGTCTGCCGAAGAACGGGGATTAATATACAGAATATATTAAGATCCCCGTTCTTCGGTTGACCATCTCATTCCAGAAGTATCCTATGAACATTATAACTAATTACCTACATTGCTATATTTCAACCTTAACAGAAATTACAGTGCAAGCTACGCAGCCGCAGTATTAGGCAGAAAAAAGCAATCCACGCAGACGATTTTAAAAAAAAATACTATATGTATTTTAAAAAACGCTTTATGTTGTTTAATTAATAGTAAGTTAAAAAGAAAATGTACTTCTGATATAGGTATATTAATGCATTTTATACTTATTTTATACTTTTATTTTTGTCATGCTCATTTTAGATAGCTCCAAGCTCCAGTAACTTTATCTTGTGGCGATTTAGAAGACATAGTTATTTATGTTTTATCTACTAAATTAGCAGGTATAATATTTGCTACGATAAAAACTTGTCTTTCATTTCATAAATTAGGTATTTATACTTGATATTACGCAGCTGGCATGTCCGCCATTTCTATAGCCACAAAGCGAGTGCATATTTCTTATGATGGAATCTCGTAATCGTCAATAAAAAGAGTATTTTAATAGTTACATTATCAGTTTGTAATTAACGCTAGTATTTAGGTAATAAACTATAATTCTGCGATGTTCATTTTGATGTATACATGGTGTTTAAAAATTAATTTTATTTTATTCAAATTTTGAAGTTGTATAGGAATCAAAATTGTAAGAAATAACTGTGAACCAAACGTAAGTATCGAAAAAAGGGGTCACTTCTTTGCATACTAATAAAAATTATTCAAACTACCATCAAGCCATCTTTTAGATTAGCGTACACACAATTTAAAATCTAATTTATGACATCGGTAACATACATATACCTTGTATGTATATTTGTTATAATGTGGTAATAAACCCATTCCAAGCAATAAACCTTGGCAGGTTAACCTCCACGCGGTTCCCTCTAGAAATCATCGTCATAAATTTCTGCTGAATTTATGATTTGCCACAATGTGCTAACTGACCTAACCTAATGCTCATCTTAAAATCCAGCACTGGTTCTCGTTAGCGTAGGCAGGTGTACAATTCCATTGTCATCAATTAAAATGTATATCTTTTTAATTCTTAATATACAGACACGGCCCATTACAAATGTTTCTATAATATTGTTTTTTTTTTATGTAATTAACATATACCATCCAGGTGAGCAATCAGCTTAAGCTGATGGCCCACCTGGATTATAAGCGGTAAACGTCACCGCAACCATAGCAAAACCATGCGAGAACTCTAAACTAGCTCGAAACTATATTGTCGAAATAAAAAAAATGCATTCGTGAATCACATTTATTGACAGTATTAATATTGACATTGATAGTAATTACTAAGTCTATTAACAGAATAATACGAAACATTAACAAAATTTATCGTTACCAAAATTGACAAAATATGAATCAAAAATAATATGACCTATACAAGTAAAATTCGTTGTTGAAGAACTCAAAGATACAATAACACTTGGTTATATGACAAAAAAGTTATTGTTAACGCAGGGATAAAAAACCAAAAATAATGTTGCTTAGAATCTATATTTGCTCATTTGTGCAAATCTCGTCATTTCATCTGAGTTTCTCAGAAGAAAGAAGAACTTACTCTACTTGAACGTGGTTTTCATTCATTTATTATAGTAAGACTGACTTTATATTTAGTGTTTATATTAATCCTGTATAATCTATACCCTGGTAACAAGGTGCGGGCTCAGTTAGTTTAGAAACCGTTTACATGTGAATCAATAATTGGTAAGAATAAATTATGTATATATCTACTAAACAATGTTCTTTTTATTGAAACAATAAAAGAAGAAATATACTTTAAGATGAAAACAATAGTAATCTGTCAATCGTTTACCAAAATCTAGGACTAGGCATAACTAGATTTAGGCACTTGTATTCTTCCAACAAAAATAAATCAATAAACTAACAAACAAATTCAAAACGGTCACACACAAAACGAAACTAAATTGAGACCAACTAAATAATACTAAACATTTTAAAAAATTGGTATTAAAAGTCATGATCATGATTAACACTAAAAGACTGTAGAAAAACAGAGTTCCAAACATTATGTACAATAGAATTGACACTTATTATTTATGCACTAGTTGTTTCTGTTGCAATCGATTTAATTTCAGAAATTGGTGAAATTTCATCAATGGTATTAGTTTCAATGGCAACTGTATCTTGTGTTTTTTCATTGGATACATTTAATTTGACTTCATTTGTACTGGGAACTTCATTTATCTTTTCTTCAAATTCGTTTGAAAGTTTTAAGTCATTTGGAACTTCAATATTTAATACTTCATCTACACCATTAGCCATATTGTCATCATCATGTATCACTTCTAAATCACACAAGTTAATATTAGCACTATTTATGGCCTGTATTAATGTTTCTAATGTTTTATCATCTATTTTATCATCTGCTTTGTCTTTGCCATCATCTTGAGCTTCATTTGCAATGGCACTAACTTCATTAACATTTATATTCTCTTTAGCATTTGACTCGTCACTTTCTGGTTCTTTGGTCACATCTGTTTTCTCTTGAGCAACTTTTTGTGCCTGTTTTTCAGCCTTGTTCTTTTTCGATTTTGATTTTTTCTGTTTCTCTGGTTTAGGTGGTTCTTCTGCAGTGTTATTTTTGTTGTTTGTTAATACATTCAACTGGCTTTGGAGATGAGCGAGACTTTGACGTAGTTGTGCGCAGTTAGCTGCCATTGCGTCAACCTGAGGTTTAAATAATGGAGTATATAGTCAATATTAAGGTTTACATTAACATTATAATAACTTAAAAATAATTTTACAAAACTTTGAGACTTGTTTTCTTGGTAATCGCATAAGGTTACAAAAACTTGAAGACACTTTAGAGTTTTTTCATGTCAACCGAATTTAAGAAATATCTCAAAGTAATCAAACAGAAATAATTCCTGCTCTCAAGATCACATTGAACAGAGTATAAGACTCTCCTGGTTAATCACATCCATCCCCTTTCACATCGTTTCCTTATTTGCGTATTCATTACCATTCCATAATGTCACAATAAAGGTTAATATAATATTATTATATACATATATAAGAGCACTATGGACCCTGATAGGCGCAGAAAGATAAAGGCCATGAAAGACAGTGGCTTCAACAGACTTTCATTATTTTGTATAGTATTTATCTGATTTATGTGTATATATATATTGATTTTATTATATATTATATACAAGTTATCTGACTATATCCACTGACATAATAAAAAACAAAATTATAAGTAGTTTTTAAAGTTATATATAAATGTTTTCTTTCTTATATTTTTGAAATATTCTGATAGTTTATTATATATTTTTATCTACATTACCAGAGGAGTGGGTGAGTGCAAAGTAAGTTTTGAAGCATTCATCGGTTTTTTAATCATACAGATTATTTAAGTTTATAAAACCTAAATAATCTGTATGATTAAAAAACCTCTCTCTTCTCTTTTTTGTAGCAATCAGGATATTTGCGAACGAATTTACACACTTCCAATATATAAATTCATGGAAGATTTAGTATTTAATTATTGCTAAAATGATTTTTCTAGCTATCTACTGTTTTATATTGACAATTCTTATTAGTTTTTTCCTTATGTTTTTCATTATTGAACATTAAAATAACCTTGCTGTTATTAGCGGGTGCGGGCGCGGGAGCGGGTGCTGGCGCTGGAGCGGGAGCTGGTGGCGGTAACGGAGGACGCTCGATATTGTTCTCCTTAAGTGTATTCAATAGCACTGTACGCTCACCCTGCAAGAGAACTATATTTCAACAAGGCATTTTAAAATATATATAAATATTTAAATTAAATTAAATGGCCAATCGGAACCAGTGGCAGGGGGAGGAGATTGATATTAATGTGGACTAATAACCCCATTGCTAGCAATATACCTCAGGTCAGGTTGACCTCCACTATAGTAAGAATTTTTACATACAAAATTTTAACACCAAAATATCTCTAACGTCCATTGAAACTGTAAAGGCCAGCTGCAGCCAATTGCATTATAGACCGAAAAAAAAATTGTATGGTATGTAAAAGGTTATAGTCAATTTCTTAATGGACTCGATTAATCAATGTATTTCTTCTATGATTCCCAACACAAATACATGCATAAAGTAGAACCTTCTTAAAAGTTAATTGCATCAAAAAAGGCTGTATGGTCATAGAAATTATTTAAAAGAGCAGAGAAAATAAGTATTCAATTATTTATTTAATCTACATATACTTATAAATTAATATATGTCCAAACAGTAAGTAACCTCAAGTATAATATTATTTGTTTCTATCGTTCTACCATTTGTTCTACATACAAACTTAACTTTATATCAATAACTTTTGATATTGACGACCTCGGTGGTCAAGCGGTTTAGCATACCATTTTACGTCCGATGGTCGCGAGTTCGATTCCTTGCACGGCACAAACATTTGTATTTATTTATGAGTATGATTGTTTGTATTGCTGTAGGTGATATATAGATTTTTTTTTTGTAAATACATGCACATAGAACATGTGTATGTATTTACGAAAAAAAATCTATTTATTTTTATCAGTTATGCAGTACCCATAACACAAGTTTTAGCTAGCCTAGCTTGGGTCTAGATGGCGTCGTGTGAATCGTCCTGAGATGATTATTATTATGTTACCTGTAGCGTGCGACACAAGCTCTGCATGTGGTGCAATTGACGAGCGCTGGCGGCGGCGCGTTCTTCACTCGCTTGCCGCTCACCGCACATGTCCAACAGAGCCGTCTGCGATGTCTCCCATCGACTCTTCCATGATAACGACTCCTTTTCCAGCTTCTTAATTTTCTTTGACATCTGAAAAAAGAAGATACATTTAACTTTAATTTGATTTATAGCTAACAAACCGTTGCATCTTCGTATGGGAAGGCGTATTGCGCAACTACGAATTTACAAGATTAGAGATTTAATTTTAGGATAAAAGGTGGGCCGTCAGCATCTTACAGACGATTTTTATAGTCTACATCCGGTACACAATTAAACAATCTACTTACCTTTTCCATTTGTTCTTTGAAACCTCCAAACACTTGGTTACTTTTCACCAATGCATTCTGGAACTCATCATATTTGTCAGTATACACAGAGAGCTGACCCCGTAAGGCCGTCTCTGTACCCTGGAGCTCCATAACCTTAGCCCGGTACTGTGCCAGTGTGACTTTAAGCTGTTCCATCTCGGCCACTAGTTTTTCCCTTTCAGCTTGATGTTCAAGACTCGCCTTTTGGAGTTTCGCGTCAGATAGTTGAGATTCTAATGCCATTTGGTTGGACATTTTTTCTACCTATTGAAAAAAAAGATGTGTTCAATAGAGCGTGTGATTTTTAGTTTTTTTTTTCTTTAAGGGGTTTGGGCAATACCCGGTGCTAAAGTGACCTGTAGCACTGCAACCTGCATAGATCTATTGTGCTGGCCCTTTTTAGAGTTTGGTGCCTAAGGAGAAGAATTTAAGGATATTCTTAGATGCATTTTTTTTATACTATGATGGTGACAAACAATTATTTTGCCAAACAAAAGCATCTACTGCCATAGTCATTCCCTAATAAAACTGCTATAACAAACCTGTTGTTCCCTCAACTGATACTGTTGCACCACACTCTTAAATTTCTCACTCATGCTGATGTTGTCATCCCTGAGTTTGGCATTCTTCTCATTATTCTGTTGCAGGAGTGTGGTAATCTCAGACAGTGTGTTCTGAAATTTGCCTTGAGTTTCTTTCCGACGCTCCTCCTCTTCACGAATCTTGAGAAGAGATTCTTCCTAAAATTTGTTTCACATATGAATATGGAATAGTGGATCAACCTGCATTTACCGTTTTCCACTGATATCCCATCCATGAAGGATGACAGAATGAAGATCATTTATATCATGAGCATATTATGGCAAATTTATTAGGAACAACATTCATCCGAAAGGGTACATTGTACTGGTACATAATAGTATATATTGAGGACATATTACAAGTAATAGGAACTCTTCCATTACTAAATGTTGTTAAATGGTAAGAGGAATTTTAAAAAATACTACATTTTAATCATCATCTGCTTCTTCCTTATTCCATTTATTTTGGGTCGGCGTAATATGTTTTTCTCATCCATACAAATAGATGCTAAATTTATTTAAAACAGGAAATATGACATTAGGCAAAATGGTAGCTGACAAAATATGATATTGTATATATATATACAAAAGTTGTTGAAGGAATCACAAACTTTGTGTAAAAAATAGATGAAATATATTGCACAGAAGGGAGGGTTCCTATAACCCTCTCCGCTATGCAATATATTTTGACATATATTTCAATTTTAACATTAAAACAGGACTTTTTTCTATTAAAGTATTAGCAGCTATGACAGGGAGTGGGGGTATAGGGTAGAACAAATAATACACACACTAAGTAACATAATTTATATTCTCTCTCTAATGAAAGACATACCTTTATAGCCTTATTCTGTTTCTGAAGTTCACGGCAGAGATTCTCCAATTTCGACTTGACGAGTATGGTTTTATTGAACTCATGTTGCAACTGCTCCTTCTCTTTTAAAAGCAGAGCATATCGTTTGTCTGATTGTTTTATATAAAACTGCATTTTCTTATTATCGTCAGCAGTTTGGACATACTTTTTACACACAAGTGACAACTTCTCCTCGAGTGTTGGCACAGAGTTAAGTGATTTCATAAACTGTTCCACATTCTTATCATCTTTCTTACTGAGACGGTCCTCTTTTTTCGATTTCTTTGGCAGATCCTGAGTAGGTGGAGAGGGTGATTTTTCCTATATATTTTTTTCACAAACAATCAATTAGTAATGAAAGACAGTATACACACATATAAATTAGTTATTTTTAATTGTTGTGATTACATCAATTACTAAAACTAACAACTGTTTTTGATTGACTATAAGAGACCTTAGTAAAAAGTCTATTTCATAGTTATTGGTTTAATTCTCCCATAATACAAATGTTTGTAACCATTAATAAGTATATTTAGTTGGATTGGTCTGGGTATTTTCAATATATATTATTTATGAGAATAAGTATGTGTATTACTTATTTGTACTCATTGTACAAGCTCTGCTTAGTTGGGAATTAGAAGAAGTTGTGAGGATTGTCCTGGTTTACTATTATTATCAAACACCTACATTTTTTTTAAATTAAAACATTTAAAGTATACAATTTTTACAGTTGATAGGTTCCACAGTAATTTAGTCTTATAGTTATTTTTTCAAGTGATGAGTATGTCAATATTTCATTGCCATATACCATATAAGAAGAAAGTATTGAAAACGTGTTAAGATATGGCACAAAAATATCATAAACATTTAGATTTCTGGCATTTCGCCAAATCTTTTTCAGGTTAAATATCTCATCTGTTTAACTTGACTGAGGATCAAGTAACTTAAATAATAATATACTAAGAAATAATGCCTGAACTGAATGTACTTAATAATTATCAGAAATAGACTATTTTTAACAAAATACAGGTTATTTACAGAAATTCGATAGCATTCTATTTCTAGAACTAGGGAAATTACACATAATGTGCACTCACATTTGTGTTATTACTTGAGACTACATTTTCTGTATTTTCTTTAGGTGCTTCTTCCGCTGTTGATTCCATTTTATCACAAATTTATTTTAATTCTTTTTTTTAAAGAATTCAAGTTATAAAAATATACGAAAATATAGTTGTTTAGTTAAAAACCATAGATCTCACAACCATAAACAATACTAAATTTTGACAGATGTAGCAGTATTTATGGTATGATTTTTATTGCTAATTTGTAGCATTTTGTTAAGATAAGAAATCTACTATTTACCTAATAAAAATACCAATAACAAACTTACATTATCCCCCTTTACTTACGTATCAACTACCACATTTTTCTACGAATTAATGTGGCATATTTCAATACAAATACATTTTTGGAATATAGCAACACTTAAAAAGAATTTATTGATTGTGTGTCTCTTTCTGTAGTATCTCAATATAATTTGTGGTCCCTTTCTTTCAATCATTTTTATCAAAAATAGAGGCGATATTAAACGATAAGCATATTTAAAAAGCTTTGTTTGTCATAAAAATTAAAATTACAGTTATATACTCCTTTTGGTAAAAAAATCGTTTCATGTAAACATATATGCGCCACTTAAACGACGTCTTTTTATCGGCTAATATATTACACTTAATAATAATACTCATAGATAAAAATGGTTTATAACAATATTATAAATTATTCATTATGTTTTTAATTATCATCTGATTAATTAAGTCTGATTATCAACCATTTCTAATAATAAATTGTTACCATCCCCAAGCTATGTATACTATCTGACGGCCAATTCTACCACTGTATCCACTTATTGTTAACTTTAAATAGCGCGCTTTTCTACGCTTTCTATTACACACTTCTGTTGTCTTTCTCAAAAATCACCTTCACACCTACTTATTACATGAAAACGTGAAGAAATATGATACACAAGCATATATTAAAATATAACACATTTACTAATTTATTCTTTCCTTTACATACATACACGTAAAAAGCGTGTAAAATAACAAAAAACTGAAATATTAATGCTTTTGTCGATACGTTTAGCGTTTGAATGTCATAAATTTAAAGCTATTTCTTCCAACTCTAATCAAAATTAAAGAAAGAAGAACGCACCGCGACCAACTCACATTCTTGTGTCGCTGCTGAGTAATCTTTTCTTTGAAAAAATATATTGCTATATATATTTACGCTTTGCTGTGCCGTTAAATAGTCTAATAAATAGACTAGCATATTTTAGTGTTACAATTATATATAGGTAAGTGTTTTGCCTCCTATTATTTTTTAATTATCGCAATTTTTTTCTTTACATGAATACGAACCGTTATTGTTTAAGATTTACAAAGGTCAATGTTCCCTAATATCGTAGGACGAATGTTATAACGATTTTATGTACTTATTTAACTTATGGCTGTATTAGCAAAGTTTTTTTTATTTCCATATTTAATTTTTTGCATATTTGGATTAACCACTACTTTTCACCTCACTATGTGCGAACAAAGCGACCGTTATTGTTCCCGCATGAATGACTTGACCGCACTTTGTGATAGATTCATTACAGTTATTCAACTAAAATTATTTCTAAGTATACCTACTTAATTGCTAGTCTACGCCGCATTGTCATGTTCTCTTAATACTATTTTCGTCCACTCAACCGGTTTTCGGTTCTGATGGCGTATGGCCTCATTTTCATCACAAGTTTATGGTTTGGTTAAAAATAACACGGATTAACGAAACATCGTGTTTGAATACACCTTCATATCTGAATGTTTTTCCTTAAATCTGAGGATAAATTTAAATTTAATTGTTTATACCTTAATAAATCAATATAAAACAACAGAAAACAATATTATGGATATAGATAAATCATATTTTCAATAACACTTCTGTAGTATTTACAACTAATCTTGATTAATTAATTAAAGGCTTATTAAATAATTTTGTTATTAATTGAAATAAATAACCTATGATTATTTAGACTTGAAATCAATTAAATAGATTAGTTATAAACTAATTAGCAAATGAATGGCTAGTTGTAATAATTACCAATAAATTTGTGTGCATTCAGCTTCTGACCTAAGTCTAAGTAGTTTTTATGTTCAGAATTTTTGCCTAGACTGGTTTTTTAAATGTCAATGTATAAAAGATTTCAATTATTACCAACATAGGCTTTGTACAAACTCATTTATGTACTTCTGTCTCTTTTATTTCTTCTGCAAAACTATGTACTCCTGTCAGGTGAGATGGGATGGATTTCTGCTGCAAATTTTAAAGATATGGCATATAGAGTATGGGAACAGAGGCAGACACCTTAGTCTTCCAGATTGTTTGTGTGAAATATTTAACACTTTTTTACATGAAAATGTTATGATATTTCTTCCTCTTTTAATTTGAATGACTTCCTCCAAATAAGGTTAGGTGATTTAGCCAATGGTAATGATATTTATATATTGGAAATTCTAAGTAAGCAGGGTTAAGTATATATATTAGATAAATGGTGATAACTATCAGCTGATAAGAACATACTATCACACCCATTCTATTAACTACATGAATAATACCTAATAGGACTTGTAGTTTTAATGATAAAATGATTACCTTCATAAAGATATAATTTAATGCCGTGGATATGACTAGCAGAGCAACAGATATTACTATTTTTTAATGGACCGGCCTGTACTAAAGGTTTGGCGGGATGATTGATGCGCATGAGGTCAGCTCAGTTAGGTCATGACAAATTCACAATGGTTTCCAGAGGGAACCTTGTGGAGGTTTACCTAAACATTGCTAGCTTTGGGGTCATCAGTCTACATTACTAACAGTCCCCTCCTCTAAGATTTTACAATTTATTAATATAATTTGGCTATTCCTGATCCATATTATGTCTATAATTTATGAACTATGTTAGTGAAATATAAACACAAGATAACTTAATTCATATCTATATCCAATCCATCTACTAAACTGTAATATGTAAATACATATATTTGCATATTGTATACCTTATATACAGCACTCTCTCTCTCAGCATAAAGTAGTCCACTGCTGTATGGTATGCCTCTTGCATAATTTTCCACTCTATACCTTACCTTATATAGGAAATAAAAATAAATATTTATAAACAAGCATTTGCTACAGAAAAAACGAATAATATCTTATTAGAAGCTGATCATAAATAAACAAGGACAGATAAATTAATATATACAAGCTGTAATATATAAATATGTATATTTGCTTATTGTATATAGGATTTTTTTGATATGGCTAATTGGCTGTTTTTTTTATACAATAGTCCAATCTGAAGGCTCTGTTTCTTAAATTGTTTGTATTCTTTAATTATTGTAAGTTCATGATGCTGCTCTAATGAGTCAGCTCTCAGGCTCTGTCTGCAATCTCAATCAAATCTTTCCCTTTAGTCCCCGGATGTTATGTCAACTTTTAAGTTGAGAGAATCTTAGACTCTGATTCTGTGTTCATTTAATCTAAACTGATAGCTTCTACTGTGGGATTGTATTTCCTGTTTTAGTGTTTAATTTTATGTCCACATACATAAGCTTGTTACTTATGTATTGTGGAATGTAGGAAATAAAAATAAATATTTATCTACAAGCATTTATAGCAGAAAAAAACAGTCAAATCCGATGACAAGACTGAGTGCCGATAAAAAAGGACAGAAAAGTATATGTATCTTTTTTTGTGTATGATAATGGAATGGTGCACCCGCCTGCGCTAACGGTGTACGCTGGTGGGGCACCAGTGGAGGATGATAAGATGGACATGAGGTCAGGTCATTTAGCTCAACGTGACAAATTCACTAGGAATTTATCATCATGGTTTCTAGGAGGAATCACATGTAGGTCAATCTAAGATATGGTTTATTGCTAGCATGGGAGTTACTAATTCCCATTACTAACAATCCCGTTCCCCCAGAAAAATATATACAAGCATCATACTTCATGAATGGTATGTGTTTCATTCCACTTTCGAATTGACCACACATCTTGATCCACATGTGTTAGCAGGGTATGCATTAGAAAGAACATTTCTTTCAAGTCATTTAAAGCATAAAAAAACGGAATCATTATAATTAAAAATTTGGACATTTCTGATATGTTATGGATGACCACAGAACAAAGAGGTAGATAGAAATATATTGATAAGAAATTACTTAGAATACCACCATAGCCACACTTCTCATGTCATCTTTTTAAACACATAAATGTAATTAATCTTATTGTGTTTTTATATTTGAGCCTAAATAAATTAGTGCTGGTTGGTAGTTTGTATTCACACGTTTCGACTTATAAAATGTGAACTTGCAAGGATTGTTTAAAAGAGCAACATACAAGTTTCTTGCTTATTCTTCTTGTGATGAGAAAGCTTTCCAAATAAGCGGTAGATTTAAAAAAAAATGTTGATTAACAAAAGTGCTTAAATTAAGTTTATTTGAATAAATGATTTTCTATTCTATTCTAATCTAATTAATTGGTACCAAATAAAAATAATTCTCATGTAACGAAACAGTTGTGTTTTGAGTATTTTATTTCGTAAAATGAAAATATAACGCAGACCGAAGATTTGTTATAACGCATAGTATAGGCGTGTGGATTACGCCCCCATACTATTTCTGTCTAATTTTTTTTTCTTCTGTATATATCATAATATTATTATTAGATACCTGTCATAAACTTTAATTTTACATTTATATCTATAATAATAATATTTCAGGACAATTCGCACAGCGCCATCTAGTCACAAGCTAAGCAGAGCTTGTGTTTTGATTACTAGACAATTTATATGTACATTTTTTTTATTTTAAATTCATACCTACACTCATAACTATACAAACAATCATACTCATGAATACAAATATTTGTACCGTGCGAGGAATCGAACCCGGGACCATAACCCGGACGTAAAGCGGTGTGCTAAACCGCTAGAGCACCGTCGTCGTCGTATATTCTGAACAGCTTAATAACATGTCATAAGTTTATTGTGTTTGTGTCATAGGTCTTAATAAATTTATAACTTAAAGTCATAAATTTATTTGACATGGTATGTTTATTTAGTTGCCCCAAATTGATACATTGTATTTATCTCGTTAGTTCTAAATTAATAATTGCCTATACCATGTTATGAAGTAATTAACACAGTTGTGACTAGAAATAATTAAAACACAGTTATTCAGTATCAATAATAATAACCCAGGACGGTAAACACAGCTCGTGTTATGAGTATGATGTTATACAACTGATAGAAATACGTTTCTTTTTTATAAATACATACATAGGAAACACTCAGACTAAAACAAACAATCATACTTATGAATACACGTGTTTGTATCGTGCGAGGAATCAAATCCGCGATCATAACCTTCATAGTGGGATTAGTGTTACAATGAACTCTTATGATCTTTTTAACAGCTAAACATGATTCTTTCTCTGAGTGTAGAAAAATGTGCTAAATATTAACTGAACTCGTTTGCAGGTGCAAAATTCATTATCCCACAAATAGGACTTTATGTTATATTCAAAGAAAATTTAAATCGTTGGGTTTTTGTTTTATTTATTTATTTATTAAAACTTTAATGCACAAATACATAAATAAAGGTACACATTGCGGACTTAACACCTCGAGGCATTTTCTCCCAGTCAACCATTGGGCAAACAGAGATCCATGTTGGCGGTGCATTAACAAATTGAAATTCAAATCTAAAAAAAATAAAATAATAAGAAGATCACTTTAATATGATTAAATATAAATACATATGCGAATATACTTATAAACTATAATACATAATATGAATAAATAATTATACATATATAAATATAACTACATACACGTACGTACCTACATACATACATACAAATACACATACAATTATAAATTTATACAAATCAACAGGGAAATTCAGATACATAGAGGTGGTTGGGTGGAGGAATAATACAAATGTTTTAGTTGTAGTTTACCTACGTACCTATGGTATTTAACTTATAGTTTATGAGTTAACCCGCGCAACTTCGCCTGCATCACACTTACAGACTTACTTGACATTTATATTTCGCACAATTTACATAATATCTTATTTAATTATAGCCTATGTGTTATTATGATTTATAAGCTATATTGCTGTAAAGTTTCTTCAAAATTCGTTAAACAGTTTTTCTATACATTCATACTTTAAACTTTCACGTTTATAATATTAGAAAGATGTACTCTATCTCCAAATAGCAGTCTTTCATTCGGTTTAAAAAAAGG